TGCGTGCGTACCAGGAGAAACTCGGAGCATGTAGGAAAAGACCCGCGCTAATGAAGAGAGCAGAGAAGGTCTTACCTCCAACTCCAAGGTTAGGTTCTGCCTTCTTCTTCGTGGTAACCGCTCGTGGCAAAGCAAGAAGAGCCAGCCAGCCGAGAGTGAGGCCGGCAGGAGGAAGAAGAGATGAGGAAGCAAGACGAGAAAGAGAGAAAGTGAGGGTGGGTGCAGTGGCAGCTCTGGTTTTAAACTAGCCGGTGGCGCAGGCACAGGCTGACACGCATGATTGCATCGACGCTACTAGCTCTCGGTGCTCGGTGGGCCGACCACCTTAAAACCAGCGGGATTTCATGCAGGAAAAATAAAAGGGGGTGCGATCCAGAATGGCTCAGCTCACCGCCACCTTTCCACCCGTAGGCCGTAACGCTCTCGCTGCAGCCGCTTTTCTGGCCCGCCCGGCGCGTAGTCCGTAGTGTGTCGGCGAGCAAGGAGGGCACTACGCTATGCGATAAGATTGAGGGAGTTTTGATTAGGCCACTATAGTACTACTACTACCACCAAAGTGCCATGATTTTCGATCCGAGTGGAGAAGTGGCGTCTTCTTCCTTCCCCACCTCTGCCGCCTTTTCCCCACCATTCGCCGGGGAAGGAGGGAGGAGCAGAGCGGTCGCTAGCAGAGCTGCTGCCGCACTGTTGAGCTGCCGCGCTGTTGAGAGAAGACGCTGTTCCAAAAGGAAACCAAATAAAGCTACCACAGCCCTCGAGATGTTGATGCAGGAGCGTTCGCGTGATGAAAGTAGTAGCGCCAAGCAGCGGTGCTCCACCTACTGTCTACTGAGCGAGTACTAGGATCACTGCATTGCAGGCAATGCAACGGAAGCCCGTGACGGTCGGTTTTGCTTCTTCCGGATCTGCCTTTGCTAGAACAGTGCCCAACTGACTCCCAGTTCAGGACGTACGTGCGCTGTTTGCACGGGGTTGGAAATGTGTGTGGGCAAAGTTTTCCTCTGTCTTCATTTAGCAGTCCCTCCTGCCAATGCAGTGAACGGGCACGCTTCAAGTGGGCGGACACGCCTAGGAAGGAAAGCAACTGCCATTAAGAGCATCTACACCCGGACTCAGCAAATTCGGCACCTCAAACGCGCCCCGGCGTGTCCGCGGGCACTAACCGGGCACTTCATATATCCGCGTCTTTACACCCACGTATCTCATATTCCGTTCCCTATTTTCATACTAAATCATGCAACGTTGATAAAAACGACGTACGACGTAGATCATGAGCGGACATATAAATGCATAATCGGTTTATCAAAAGATTACAGTCGGATCATCGAAAGATAGCCAAAGTTCATATAACACACATAATACGGCGGACAAGTTCAAACTAAAACTAAAAACTTGAAATAAAGACGATCTTCACCACTTCCTCGCCAGCCCTTTGCCCTTCCGGTCGCCGACGCAGCTGTACTAGTCCGCGGCAGGAGGTGAGTCCATGTCGGAGCTGTCGGACCCGTCGGAGAAGGAGGAATCAGAGATGACGATGAAGCCTTGCAAGCGCCGGATGACGCGGTCTTGCTGGCGCTTGAGCTTGGCCACCCTCGCTGCCTCCCCGGCCTCCCGCTCGGATTGCTCAATGCCGAGCCCGAGATGCTTGGCGTTGAGCCTCCAGAGCCGTCGGTGAGGGAGTCCTGGACTAAGGGGTTCTCGGGCGTCCGGCCTGTTAGACATGGGCCGGACTGATGGGCTGTGAAGATACAAAGACCGAAGACCCTCTCCCGTGTCCGGATGGGGACTCTCCTTAGCGTGGAAGGCAAGCTTGACGTCCAAATATGAAGATTTCTTTCTCTGTAACCGACTTTGTACAACCCGGATCCCCTCCGTTGTCTATATAAACCGGAGGGCTTAATCCGTAGGGGCAATCATAATCATACAGGCTAGACTTCTAGGGTTTTAGTCATTACGATCTCGTGGTAGATCAACTCTTGTAATACTCATATTCATCAAGATCAATCAAGCAGGAAGTAGGGTATTACCTTCATAGAGAGGGTCCGAACCTGGGTAAACATCGTGTCCCCTGTCTCCTGTTACCATCGACCTTAGACGCACAGTTCGGGACCCCTACCCGAGATCCGCCGGTTTTGACACCGACATCGGTGCTTTCATTGAGAGTTCCGCTGTGTCATCGTCAAGAGGTTCGATGGCCCCGCCAATCATCTACAACAATGTTGTCCAGGGAGAAGTCTTTCTGCCCGGACAGATCTTCGTATTCGGTGGCTTCGCACTGCGGGCCAACTCGCTTGGCCATCTGGAGCAGATCGACAGCTACGCCCCTGGCCATTAGGTCAGATTTGGAAGCTTGAACTACGTCGCGGATATTCGCGGAGACTTAATCTTCGACGAATTCGAGACCACGGCAGGCGCTCCCTGTCACCACGATGAACATGACTTAAATCTGTCATCGGACCATACCCAGAAGATAGCACCTGTAACTGCTCTGGCCCTAGATCCGGACCAAATCGCGCCATCCGAGGGCGGGAAGCTCAACCCCGCCACGAAAGCCGCAGACTGAGCGGCGTCGGAGCCGCACACAGACCCAACCTCGAGTGGAATCTGTGTCACTGGAACCTCGGACTCGTTTCCGGCTACAGATCCCGAACCATGTGCGTCCGCATACATCGGGCTTGATCAGGCATCGATCGTCGAATTCAGCTCCGCGGACATTTTCCGGCACTCGCCTTTAGGCGACGCGCTAAACTCACTAAAAACACTCTCTTTAGCGGGGGACCCACAGCCGAATTATATCCGGTTCGAACTGGAGGCTGATGACGGAGAATTTCACTTCCCACCCACCGCCCACTGCATAGCCACTATCGAAGACTTAACCGACATGCTCAATTACGGCTCCGAAGGCATCGGCGGTATGGACGGCGATGCCGAAGAGGAGCAGGGCCAAAACCCGCCGTTTACCGGGCGCTGGACGGCCACTTCTTCGTACGACATGTACACGGTGGATACACCTAAAGAAACTAACGACGATGACAAAGAAGATCTAGTCGAGGATAAACGTCCTGAGACACAGCCAAAGCGTCGGTGTCGGCGGCGCCGCTCTAAGTCACGTCGTGGAAAAGACAGCAATACCGGCATGGGAGAAAACAATACTCCGGACGATGCCGAAGACAATGAAGACCCCGTTGAGGTAGCTTCCAAACAGGACGAACGGGAAGACGGGCAAGTTAGCCCTGACGAACAGGCCATACACGAAGGCTCGGAGGACAGTAATTATCTTCCGCTCTTTGAGGATGAGGTGAGCCTTGGCAACGAGGATTTTATCGTGCCTGAGGAACCTCTCGAGCAGGAGCGCTTTAAGCGCCGGCTAATAGCCACCGCAAGGAGCTTGAAAAAGAAGGAGCGGCAGCTTCAAGCTGATCAAAATCTGCTCAACGATAAATGGACTGATGTCCTGGCAGCCGAGGACTACGACCTCAAGCGCCCAGCCAAGAGTTACCCGAAGCGCAAATTGCTACCTCAGTTCGATGATGAGGCGTTGGAGCCCGTACCATCATCGTACAATGCGGCTGACCGACCACCACGTGGTCGGGACAAAGCGACAACTCAATGAAGGAAATATGCCCTAGAGGCAATAATAAAGTTATTATTTATTTCCTCATATCATGATAAATGTTTATTATTCATGCTAGAATTGTATTAACCGGAAACATGATACATGTGTGAATACATAGACAAACATATAGTCACTAGTATGCCTCTACTTGACTAGCTCATTAATCAAAGATGGTTATGTTTCCTAACCATAGACATGTGTTGTCATTTGATTAGTGGGATCACATCATTAGAAGAATGATGTGATTGACATGACCCATTCAGTTAGCCTAGCACTTGATCGTTTAGTATACTGCTATTGCTTTCTTCATGACTTATACATGTTCCTGTAACTATGGGAATTATGCAACTCCCGTTTACCGGAGGAACACTTTGGGTAATACCAAACGTCACAACGTAACTGGGTGATTATAAAGGAGTACTATAGGTGTCTCCGAAGGTACATGTTGAGTTGGCGTATTTCGAGATTAGGTTTTGTCACTCCGATCGTCAAAGAGGTATCTCTGGGCCCTCTCGGTAATGCATATCATTATAAGCCTTGCAAGCAATGTGACCAATGAGTTGGTTATGGGATGATGCATTACAGAATGAGTAAAGAGACTTGCCGGTGACGAGATTGAACTAGGTATTGGATACCGACGATCAAATCTCGGGCAAGTAACATACCGATGACAAAGGGAACAACGTATGTTGTTATGCGGTTTAACCGATAAAGATCTTCGTAGAATATGTAGGAACCAATATGGGCATCCAGGTCCCGCTATTGGTTATTGACCGAGAATAGTTCTAGGTCATGTCTACATAGTTCTCGAACCCGTAGGGTTCGCACGCTTAACGTTACGATGACAGTTTTACTATGAGTTTATAAGTTTTGATGTACCGAAGTTTGTTCGGAGTCCCGGATGTGATCACGGACATGACGAG